TGTAAGTTGGACCTCTCTTTTAGTTAGGTCATTGAACAAAAACAGAATTAAGTAACAACTTCTCTATTAGGATCCTCTCTGTGTGATAGAACTAGTAACACTGAACTTTTAATTTAATTCCATCTTGCCCAACAAGTAAGTTGGACCCAAAAAATATTTAATATATATAGCAACCTTGTTATCTATATTTTGTTGTTGTTGTTGGGGTTCTTCTTCACCTTTCTACTTAGTTGTGGAGAGCAGGAAGTAGATGAATGGAATGCTAAGAATTATTTAATTGGGCCTTTCTCCATTAGATTCCAACAACTAACTGGTTGGTGTGCATTGCAACTCTTTGATAATGCTACTGAATTTGAATCTGCTTACCCAACAAAAATTTTTTTATTAAGATAGAAGATGGGAACTTGCTAACTTGCCTGCTGGGTCAGCTTATATATAAATATATGGGTATCTAGGTTGGTTCCAACTTCCAAGTTAGATAGGATTGAAGATGGATCGGTAGGCCCGACTGAAAATGGATTGTGTGCTTGGGTTGTAGCTGGGTTTCGATTTTCAAAAGATAAATTAACTTGGGTGACACCTCAGAACAAGTCAGCAAATGGCCCATCCGGACCTAGCTCCATAATTGATCCCGGTTCCATTACAACTCATGCACCCCATTCTGGAACAAAGGGAAAAAGGGTTGCTTTCTTCTATCCATTCAGGAAGTCCATAAAGAAAGGTTGTTTGATTGTCCCTTTGACCTACTTAACGTGAGAGTTTGGTGTATCTGCCTGTTGAGTCCAACAAAGAAAGTCCATTCACATTCTTATGGGGATGGGGAGATGTGACCCACTAGCACTAGGCCCATGGCCATCATCATAGGAATTCCATTCACACTGGAAAGGTAGAGGCGAGAGCTGGCCTCAGCTAAGACTGGACGACTGGAACAAGACTCTCATGGAATCTTGACCGACCTGATCAATGTGCTCTGTACTTTCCGTGCAACCTGCACTGAAAAGGGAATTTTGTAGGAAATTATATATGCTGTTGGCATGGCTCATTAATTTTCTTTGTTGAGTAATAAAGTTTTGATTGTTTTTATTTTGACAGTTTGACAGGAAAAATATCATCCAAGGGGAGATGCAATTTCAAAGTGGTGGAATGGTCCCAGGACGAAATTCCTTATTTTCTGGCTACGAAGAATTGCCAACATCTCTGTTGAGTGCTGCTCCCTTGTCTTTCTAGTGTTGACTGGAGAATGACTTTTGATTAATCTGTTTTGTGTTTAAAGTGCCATAAGGTACCCATCCATTTGTTGATCAATATCAATAAATCGGCCAGATTGGTTCTAAAGCCTAAAGGGTACTGACTGATTTATTAGGTTGTGATGTCCTGATTAGAGTTGAGAGGTGTTGAATACTGGGAGAATTTGGGTGGTTGTTACAACTTAGAACTTACAAAGAGGGTACGGTATATGATTTGATTAGGAAAGCTGAGCAGTCAAAAGATTTTCGAAATTGTCTAAACTTCGAGTGCGAATATATATGCGATGTTTGCCATTTGATCATCAGTACAAGAATCAGGGAAAGGCAGACAAGGTTAGCAAACACTGCTATCACATGAATACAGTCCATATCCACTCCCTTGTTGAGTTGTTATTTGTAATTCCAAAGAGCCAGGAGTTGTGCTAATGAACCCTTTTGCTGACTTGTGCTACAACTAAGTGGGTTTCCATTGCCGATCTATCTATTAATTATACTCTAACTTTGTTTTAGGGTAAATTACATATAGGTAGCTATATTTTTTGGGGATAGTAACAATATATGCCCTGAACTATCAATTGCAATACTTGGGTATTCTGAACTCTCAAAAATAGACACTTAGGTTCATCCATTAGTTAAACATTACATAATGTCAAAAATACTCTTCTCATGTATTTTTAAAATCATTTTCAGGTGATTAAATTTCTCCCCACGATGACATTCTCACATAAACAGTAAATAATATATTCAATTTTTCTGATGATAGCATTCTTTGATAATGATTTTACTTTGTAAATGTTCTCAAAAATACATAAAAAAAAGTATTTTTGACATTATATAATATTCAACTGACAGAATACTAATGGATAGACCCAAGTGTCTATGTTTGAGAGTTCAAAGTATTCAAATGTTGCAATTGATAGTTCAGGATACCTATCTGTAATTTACCCTTTATTTTATCACTCTGGCCATTCTTCTGCACACATTCCCAACAACTTCCTTCTAGTTTGCACGTCCAAAAGTTGAAATTAGAGGCGTAGCTATAAATGGTGTCTTGACTAACTTAAATTAACCGGGTAGCCTCTTTGATCACATCTAGATCTGCATCCCTGGCATTTACAAGAATACTTTGGGAGGTATTTCTTCCAAGTAGTTGAATGCCTGAAAGCTTTAGGAGATGCACTTACAATGAAACTTTTTTTCTTGGATCATTTTGGTTGATGGGTATGTGAAATTGGGAGGGATATATATATGATGGTAGTAGAAAGTTGCTTTACTTGATGGCTTGATTTGTTTGTTTGTGATGTAAATACAGGCTGGTGTTATTAAACACTCCAATCTGTATTTTTTGGCGTTTGGATGGAGTGTAGTTAAACATCGAAAGTCGAGGTAAAACTTCATTCACCTCGAGTTTTATATCGATAATTTGTGTAAATACAACTTTAATAAAATCGATATAAATATTTAAATTGATACACTTTTCATTTTACAATGGTCCGTAACTTTAATGTTGTGTTTGGCATCGATGCCATTTTCTGAGAAAATGGTGTTATATAGGCATTACATTACAAAAAGTGGTGTTTCAGAAAACATCCTCTTATTTGGTATCATTTTTCCCTAAAAAACGTTGTTTAAGACCATGTCTTGGAAATTGGGAAAGTGTGGTCTAAAGCAATACCAAATGCAATGTTTTCTCAGAAAATAACCTATTGCTGTCAGTAGTGCCAATACTGACCAATACTGAAAACGGTTCTACAATACTGATACCAAATAAAATCAATATTGTTTTCCCAAAAAACAGTCTATGTGACAGTACCGCTTCCAAATAAGAAATAAAACGGTGCTTACAACTCAAACACACCCACCATTTTTATGAGAAAACGGTGCTGTGTTCCCTGCACCCATACCCAACACATATTAAATCAATCGATGTACAACTCCATCGGTATAATTTTACTTTTACACCGCATTCAAATGCAGTCAAAGGCTATATTTGGTTTCCCTCGACTTTCTGATTCTCTAATTTTCTGTCGAAGTCAAACACAGCCTAACATAATTTCTCTTAGATAAAGTCTAACTTAATGCTTGGAGCCCTCTCTTAGCCATCATATGATGTTATACAGACATTTGGGGACAAATGCTTTTTTATTGGGTTAATAGAAAGGACTCTGTGACTGAATATATGACTCAAATTCAACTATTCTGCCAAGCCCAATCAAACCAGTCTGAGCAAGCCCAGACCTGAGCTGAACCCAGACTGTGTTGAATTTAGGTTAGTTTGGGATTGGGTTGACTGTCTTGGGCTTTAATCTCAGGACCCATGACAAGTCAGGATCAGTTCTGAGGTCCAACAATGTCTTAGGGTTGGGTTTGAATTTGTCCTAAGCCCAGCCCAATTCACCCAAGCTTCACTCATATAAAACTTTTTTCTGCAGTCTCCGAATCGTAAATAAATTAAGAAGAAAAGCGATTTTCTTTTTGATGGTTTACGATCTGCTGAGAGTCCAAAAATGATGGTCGAGCTTGTTGGTATCACTTTAAGAAACGGCGATCCTCTGGAGACAAAAAAGAAACCACTTGTCCTTTCTATTGATACGATTTGGTTCGAAATACATATGTTTGGTATTCATGATTGCAATTATAGCTGCGGCACAAAAATGCTTTATAATAAAATCTGAGCAATGTTCTAAACAGCACTTACAACAGTCGTTAGATATGCTTGAAGTCGGAAACTGGGTGGGTTCCAGTAATAAAACACCGGGGTTTTTATTGTTCAGTCCATTTCAATAAGCCTTAATTCTACCCTACAGTTGGGGTAGGTGTCAATTCGGAATTGATGCCATGGGTGGGTATTGATGTTATACGTGGGGGGTATTTAATATTGAATTTAGAATTCTGAAGCGGAGTGTAGTATTATCTTTACCAAAATACCCATGTATGATCCAGAAGTTGAAAACACAAACATTATTTGTCTGGGGACTCAGGATTAGAGGTGTCCACAGTTTGGTTTATTTTGCAAACCAAACCGTGGGCATATTTTGCAAACTGAACCAGTACCACCGGTTTTTGTATTAGTCCAAACTGAAACTAAACCAAAACAAGCGGTTAACCGGTTTTCAATTTTCGGTTTTCTTTTCTTTTGTATTAAAAAATGTTTCCTATCTAAAATGACAAAAATAACAAAGGAAAAAACCTGATTCAAGCCAAGTTTGTCTAAAAACCTACACAACATGATATCCAAAAAAAATGCTTCTTAAGTTTCATGCTTCTTTATCTATAAAAAAAATCACGCTTCTTAATTTCATTCCTAATTCAAGCCAGTTTGTCTAAAATAACTATTCCAAGATTAGCACTTATGAAATTTTTGGGTATTGACCATTGCAGATTTGGCTGATTTGCAGCAAGGCAATTAGTCATAGAACCTATAGAGAAATAGAAGAATCAAAGTAAGAATAATTAAAGTATTCAACTTCAAATCGTTAAGACTAACTGATAGTATAAAAAATGCTTCTTAATAGTCTAAATACCTGACTGCTTTTTTGACAAGGGAATAGCAAGGGGGATTAAACCTTGCTTAGCTCCAACCTCCAAGAGTCAAGAGAAGTGATTGTTTCACCTATTAGCTATTACAAAGCAAATAAGCCATAACCTCTGATTGATTTTTTCATAGGTTAAGCTTCTTGCTTATTATCTATATATCATAAAAGTATTAAACTATTAACCAACATAAAACATTCAATAAAATATCTCTGCAAAAAACATTCAACAAGATATTTCTTTTAACACTTGGCCATTTAACAAGGTTCACAAATCATAAATTTACAACTATAAACATTAAACAACGTCCACAAACATGAAAGTTTAAATTTAATGAGATCCACAAGACCACAACCATAAACATTCAATCATCAACAACAATAAGAGGATGCTCCTCACTGATACATGATATTTCTACAAAAAATATTAAGACAAACACAAATTAGAATTAATATAACAAAATAAAAATGAAGAGGAAAAATAAAATAAAAAACAAAAAGCTTACCTGAATCCATACTCTCAAGTTCTTCTAAACTCTCCTCTAAATGAAGGTAGCCATGTGATATTTGTAGCTAATCTTGTCCACAAATGATAGTTTCCACCATTCTTGGAGTTAAAGAACTACGGAATGAATCAAGCACACATCATCCAGTACTAAAAGCCAACTCAGATGCAACTGTAGATACAGGCATAGGTAACACATCTCGAGCTATCATAGGAAGTACTTGATATTTAGACGATTAACTTTCCACCAAGCCAATATGTCAAATGATTTATTTTTCGAATCTTCACATTCCTCCCCTAAATATTTATCCAATTCTGTTTTAGTATCTACACCTCATTGACCTGTTTTTTGCTTTTTATACAATGCATTCATAAAATCAGCAACATCTTCTACACTATCAACTTCCATCTCATTTGTATCTTGAATTTAATTGCTTGGTTGAACATTGTGAGATGACTTAGCTAAACTATAAAATTTAAACATGGAGACCAAAACATGTTTCACCCTCTTTCTCAACACTTGAGCATTATCAACATCATATGATTCATTAATAACCCAATCCACATACTCCAATTTACATCGAAGATCAAGAACCACTACAATGAACAACATAATGTTGATATTCCTCACATTTGCCCAATACTTTTCAAACTTATTTTTCATCTTGGAAACCATCAAACTAACACTAAAATCATCACTAGTACACTTCCTAGAAATAACAAGCCCAATACCATAAATTTCTTTCATGTATTCATTTCCATTTATATAAAGTGACCCAGACAATTTCAATGTAGTTTCATAGAAAATTTTAAGAAAAATGAAGCAAGCACTGAGCATATTCCCAATCATCATCATTAGAAAAACCCTTATTTTTTGAACTAGTAAGCTCCTTTACGTACTTACTATCAACGGTCTCTAACAAATCAAATGCCTTCTGAAATTTTAAAGTAGATTCCAACATCAAATAAGTAGAGTTCCACTTAGTATCAACATCTAGGCAAATAAAACTCTTACTCTCTATCTTTTCTTTCTCTACATAATCCTTAAACCTTTACAATCATGATGGAAAAAACCTTGCATACTTTACTGCAAAACGGATCTTAAATATAGACTCATCCAATTCTGATAACCCCTCTTTGACAATTAAACTCAAAATATGTGCACCACATCTCATATGTAAGAATTCACTCCTTAAAACACTTCCCTTCCAACTGTTGAGTCTCTTTTTCAAGTATTGAATTCCCACATCATTTGAACTTGCATTGCCTACTGTTATAATAAAAACTCTTTTGATGCCCCAATCAAGCAAGTATTTCTTAATTGCCTTACCAATCACTTCTCTTGAGTGACTGGAAATTGGATAAAAATTTTAAATTTTTTTATACAATCTCCAATCATCTATGAAGTGAACAGTGAGACACATATAACTAAGATTTTGATAAGATGTCCATGTGTTTGTAGTAAGGTAGATCATTGATGGCAATTTCTTGAAATATTTTTTCAACTTCCTCTTCTCCTCCATAAAGAGATCATAACAATCTCTAGTTATTGTTTGACATGAAGGGACTATAAATTGTGGTTGCATGGTACCACAAAAGTCACAAAACCCCTCTCATTTCACATGCTTAAAGGGCAATTCATCTACAATAATCTTTCTAGCAAATGCCCTTCTACAATCTTCTTGGTCAAATTTGTAAGTTACAAGTATTGGTGTGATGTATCTCCCACCTCTTTTGCATTTTCATATGAAGATTTCAAAGTTTTTTGTTTCTTGTCCACATTTAAAGGTTACTTCCTACATCTAATCAAGTGATTAATCAAGCAAATTTGTACCACTTGTACTAGGACAAGCTAAGTCCTTACCACAATAGGTACATGATGCTCTTTGATCATTTTTAACTTGGCAATCTATCTTAGTGAAGTGATTCCACACCCAAGATTTTGTTTTCTATAAGTAGAAGAAACAATAACCTTTGAATCAACCTCCATAATAGGTGGATTTGATGCATTCTCATCATCACTTTGTGGTTTAGGAGGAGGAATTGTGCTTGTGTTATTATCACCCATACTTAACATCTAATAAAGAAAATGGATGAATAAGAATGAATGAATAAGAAAAATAATTAATAAGAATGAATAAGCATGAATGAATAAGAACAAAAATGAATAAGTATTAAATCTTAGCTTAAATATTCATTCAAATTTTATTGTTTTTATGAAACTCTATTGTACAAATTGGTACAACTCATTGTAAACATGTCTTCAAAGACAAATTCATGTACATAATGACTAGTTAACAAACAACATTCTATTTGAGTATTTCTTTCCTTTCTTTTTTTTTCCTTATGGAAAATAAAGCAAATTAACAAACAACTTGTTTCATTTTAATACAATTGGGTTTCAAGAAGCCCCAAATCAATGAGAAAGGAATTATCATAATTCATAAAAAAAGAAAAGCAAGTGAGAAAGGGAGAATTATGAAATAGTCCTTCAAGCCATTTCCTAAAATTAGTATCACTGGAGGACTTTTCCCACAACTTTCTCTTTCTTACTTGTTTTTAAAGAAACCAAACACAGTATAAACAAACATCCTCCCCACCCTACACAAAAAAAAATTGGGAATTTTCAAGGCCTAAAAAATTTTCAAGAAAAAGAATGAATAAGTATAAACAAACATGAAACAACCATTGTTGAATATACAAAGCAAGTAAGCAACTGTTCCATACTTCCATTGTTTTGAGAATATACAAACAATAATATACAAAGCAAGTAAGCAAACAAGAATATAAAAAACACATATTTTCTCAAACAAATGAATAAGTATAACCAAACACAAAGCTTGTTCCATGCTTCCATTTGTTTTGGGAAAATATATGTTTTTCTTACTAAATACTAATGTTAATGTGGAAATTTTAGAAAGAAGATAACAAGAATATACAAAGCAAGTAAGCAACTATTTAATATGAATCATCGGGGCAACACTACTTGATAGGAAAACAAATAAACAAAAGGAAAGAAACCCACATGTTGCTTGACCCTGGTCTTCTGTGGTCTCCCAATCTACCTGCACAGAAGAGGTATTTGCACAAAATCATATTAAAATCAAATTCACTTGGATGTGATTAAGCTCTAACAACAATTGATGTCGAAACTCAAAAGAATGGATAAAAAAATCACTATTTAGTGGAACAAATCTGTATTGCCTAAAGCTGTATAAAGCATCCACAGTTGCGGATGACATCACAGTTCATAATTAAATTTGCTATCATCTTAGCTCGAGTTAAAATCTTATTAGATATATTCTTTACACTCACACTTATAACTAAGATATCCATAAGAAGTAATGAGACTTTAATAGGTTTCCAATAGAGGTTGGTAAGGGAGAAGACATTAACATTAGTATTCAAATTATTTAAGAGGTTTGACCTGCAGACCTATTTGAACTTCTGGAGTGGTACCGTTCAAATTTGAACGGTATCATTCAGACATTCATATTTTAAACAAATAGGTATATCATTCAGATAGTTGCTTACTTGCTTAAATAGGTATCATTCATTCAGACATTCATATTTTAAACAAATTTCATATCAACTATTTTAACTAAAAAAAATCATTTACCAGCAAATCTACCACTGTTGAACTGTAAGGGAGAAGAAAACCAGAGCCTAAAGATTCAGATTCAGAGAATGAGAAGAATGGGGGGAGAAAGAGAACCAGACCACAACAACGACATGGGAGAAATAGAACCGGTCGACGAGCGACGACAATAACGATTGGAGAGGAGAAATGGTTCGGTTCTGTCTGAGTCACTGAGTGTCTGTTGATCTGTTCTTGTTTTCTTTTAGAAACAAGAAGAAAGATAAATAGATAGTCATACTAGACGACGGCGATGGGAGAGGAGTGGTGGCAACAGCTACGATTTCTGGTTTCTGCTGTTCAAACAAGAAGAAAGAAGATTAGAAGAGGCCAGAGGGTTTTGGGGTTTGAATGTTTGATAGAAAACAGAAGTATTCATTTTTTTGGGCTTGGGCCGAGAGAGAGAGGCGTTGGGGGCTGGGCCGCTAGGGCGGAAACATATTAAAATAAAACAAAAATATATAATATATAAAAATTGGTCGGTTTAGTTAACCGTCGATTTTTTATAGATTAACCGAAAACTGAACCGACCGATTTAGTTAACCGGATTTTTTAGATCGATTTTTTCAATTTTTTGATTCTTAGGAACACCCCTACTCAGGATCTCCTACCCATAAAACACTACCTCCGTGCATTGGGAACATCTCCCCATATATATCTCTGCGATGTTATGTGGGTAGGTGTGGGTGGAATTATCGTGGGTAGAAAATCTACTTATCATGCATAACTAATTAGCCTCTCATAAGGAATTTTGTGAAAATATCATAGCTATTATTTGTCAAATGAGTTTAAACAAAAAGTGGTCAACCTCGCTCATCTCTATGCATTATTACCTCAAGATGCCATCACTATCAAGAGAAAAATAAATCAAATTCTCTTTGTTATTCTTTTTAAAATTTCAAAATTCTCTCCTTTTTTTTCAATAATTATATAAAAAATGCAGGGATTGAAGAGGAATTCAATAAATGGGTAGGGATATCTTCTCATAATGATAAGGAGGATGTTTCCAATGTGTGGCTACTGTTTCCTGTTGGAACTGGAACATTGTTGTGAGCATTTTGTTAATAGCAGATTTAAACTCCTTATTAGGGATCTGCTATTAGTAAAACGCTCCCAACATTGTCCCAAGAGCCCACTGCTGCCCCACATTGGAAACATTTTCCCATGTAAGGCAGATAGGCAATGAGCTATATATATATATATTTGCCTTTACTTGATACTTGATAGATAGTGGGATGGGAATCAAATCAATAAATGTTACAAAGGCACAGAGAATACGTAAGAACCGGAATCAGATGCATGATCAAGAATCGGCAAGATAAGATAAGAATTCTCCACATGTGTCTATAGAAAAGGATATGTTATCAAGATTAATGGTTCATACATAGTGGTTAAAAAAACCCACTTGAATCCAAATTTATTTATTTGGGATAAGTTATTTGCACTCCACCTCTGAATTCTGAATTGAACTGCAGACCTAAGGTAGACCTAAGATTTTTGGGGGTAGACTGAACAGTAAAAACCCTACTTTTTTATTGATGTACTTTTACATCTTATTATTAATGTAAATATGCATTAGGAAATGTGTTTTCTATCATTCATTAATGTATAAATATAATGTTGTCAAACACATACAAAAGTGAAACAGAGTGCAAATTTTCGGGGATTTACACTCTATTTGCATCATTTTCAAATGCAGCCTATATATATACCTCCCACAAAGAGCTTTAAAATGCCATTTGACAAGAAAAATGGTATTTATCTTGCACATTGGCCTGCCTAGACCTCAGACTTGGTGTGTGTACTTCCTAGTTTTCTTCAGTCTGCTATTGTGCTAGGCACTATTTTTGAGCCACTTGAATGAAATTGTACTAAGCTAGCTCCATTTGGGAAGAGTGTAAATACAAATATGTATTTATATTGAACATAAATAAAAAAAATTATGTCAATCCAAAGCAGAGAAGAGACTTGTGCCATGCATGCACGGATGCACCAATTTTAATTAATAAAGATGACCATGCATTGTAGATGAGTTTACGTAGCCCTATGTTTGATTTGATTCTTTTATTGTATTTTTTTAATTAAAAAAACACAAAATCCTGAGAGAAGGGGATTGCGAAGCAATGTGATCTGGGAAGAAAAATGAAAATAAAATGGCTACAATGTTACATCGATCGTTTATTCAGGATAGTTGGTGCAATATTTATATTCATGGAGGTGTGCAAATAATACGGGACGGGAATGATGAGCCTGCAGGTCTCAGAGACAACAAAGCTCTAATGTAGGGTGAGCATTATTCGCTTAAAACTGAAAATTTTGGTTTTGATTTTTCAGTTTTTGGTTTATTCCATCAATATTTTAGTTCAATTTTGATTTTAAAATCATAAATTCGGTTAGCCTAATAAATCAAACTTTGGTATATAATATGTAATATATAATATATAATATGTAAGATATAATATATAATATACAACATATAATATATAACATATTATATATTTATATATTAATATAATGAAATTTGATTTTATAATATATATAATATAGTATATATTATTAAAATTCAGTTTTAATCGAAAATCAAACTGAAAATTTTGGTTTTTCTAAAATTCAGTTTTGGTTTCAGTTTTTATTTTTTTTCAATTTTTTCAGTTTAGATTTTAAAATTTTGATTTATTCAGTTCGACTTTTAACCGAATAAATCAAATACTCACCCTTAATCTAATGTATTTTCAGACTTTTCGGTAATATAATGATAATCAACGGCTTTGTCAAAAATATTAAGAACAACGGCAGTCCAACGACACCTTCACAATTGTCATAGTTTAAAAAGTCTATGAGCAACAAGCAACAATTGAACGCTGCTTCTAGGGGTGGATTTGAGCCAAGCCGAGCTGAATAGTACTAAGCTCGAGCTTGGCTCAAGACTGTTCTACAAGGCTCGAGCTCGGTTCGAGCCAGAACCTTGAGCTCGAGCTCGGCTCGAGTCAAAAATTCATAAGCTGAAACTCGGCTTGGCTTGAGCTCGATTTTGAGAAAAAATATTTTATAAAAATAAAAAGTTATATATAAAAATATTTTTTATTTAATATTTAAAAATTATAAATTATAATAATTAAAAATTATAATATTTTTATTATTATATATCTATATATA